AAGCCCTACAACCAATAACCATGACATTGTCTGCACATTACTGCATTCCCACCCCCCAACTGGTGAGTTTCCTCCCTCTACCTCCACCCTTAAGCCATCTCCTTGCACAAGCCCTTCTGCCTCCCACTTACGGGGGGGTGGGGGGGGAGAGGCAGGGAGAGTGGAAACTTGCACCTGGAGTTTCTGAGGAGCAGCGGTTCCTCCCTTCCCTTGACTACAGAAAATGCTTGCCAGACTGACATGAAGAGATTTGTCTCACTGGGACTCCAGCGAGGGAGGGTGAAGCCTTCTCTTAGGCCTACACTCCCCATCCTTCCATTCCTTTTCAAGGCTGTTTAACCCCCTTGAGTCTCCTTGCTCGAGGCAGACTGGGGTGACGGTATGAGGTAAATAGGCATGTAAACTTGTGAGGCAGTAGAGCTGCTATAGGCTTATAGTGTTCTTTATTGCTTGTGGAATCAAAACAAAGTGATGACAGACACATCCATAAGTGCTGATAAATGCTTCAGGTGCACTAACAAACTGAGCCTTCACAGGCTATGAGCGATGGGTCTGATTAACCAGTGCAGAAATGGTACAGCCCATGACAGGGCTGTTTTCAGCACCGTTACAGGGAAATGCAGCTGAGCCCTCACAGAGCCAAAGCCCAGTGCACACAGGACAAGTGGCAGAAAACACCGTTTTGTACAGTTAAGTGGCAAGATTCTAGAGCCCATGTAAGGGCAACTTTCCAGGGCAAAACCCCACAAAGGAGTCCTCTTAGGGGAGCCCAGAGTTCCAGACAGCTAAAACAGAGAGATTAGTGAAACTATGATCTCCTTGGGCCTTAGACTTCATACTTGTTATTGCAAGAGAGAATACATATGTGGGCCCATTGCTTTGTCTGTTGTGTTAATGCTTCAGAGAGAATTATTTCCCACTGGATTCTTACTTTCAGGAGAGAGACAGACCCTGGTCCCTGCTCTGGCAACACAAAGGGGCTCTAGCCACTTATTTGGCACCTGGGGTAGATCACAAAGGGGCTGGATTCCCAAGTGGGTATAGAGCAGTGGTAGGCAACATGTGGACCATTGGGTTTCTACATGCAGCCTATGCAACACCCTCTGCCATCTCCCCCTGTGCCTGTTGCACGCTGGGGGCCCTGCACTTACCTACTCTTCTCCCTCCGTCCCAGTACTTCTGAAGCACCGTAATCAGCTGATTTGTGCCCCATTCCCCCTCCTCCTCAAACTTGACTGCTGAAAATCAGCTGATTCACTGAGCTCCAAAAATGCTAGGAGGGAAGATGAGAAGAGACAGGCGTGCCCAGGGGAGGAGGAAGGGAAGAGGCCTGGTGGGGGTTTGAGGGAAGGGGTGGAGTGGGGCTGGAGGGGGAAGGTCAAGCAGCCCCTGGCAAAATGAGAAATGACACACATTTAAAGCATGGGCACGTGAGAGGTGCATGGTGATTGCACATGACATTGTGAGAGCTCTGTGCTCCCTCAGCCAGCATAACATCCCCTTCCAACCAAGACCAATTTGTACTTTAGAGCAGCTCTGAGGCTGATCTAAATTACTTCAAGGACTGAACTGACTTCCACCCTGCCCTGGAGATTATGGGACTTCAACAGTGAGCCACAGCCTGGCCAGACATAGGAAATGGGACCTTGGTACTTGCTTATGTCTTCTGCACTGAGCCCCATATTATGCAGAGCATTTGCTACGGGGTACAGGTTGCCTTAGTGATTTACAAGATGTGGCCTTTCACTTGGATTATAAATCATGGGGTATTGTCCGCCTTTCAAAGAAGTTAATAAATTTTAAATTAAAATTGCATTTTATTTACAGCTGAATTGTTCAGCAAACCAGCCTCTCTTCATGCACATCTCTGATTTTACTATAGAAAACTGGAGAGCAAGCTTTATTTCTACCTGAGCGATAATCCTGTGCAACATACTTTGGGTCAGTGGCTATTTTAGTGTATAGCAGCAAAATATTTGTCCAGGGTCTTTTGCAAATGCTTAGATCCCTATTTCAGCTGACTGTTGCACAGGTCTTACCTTACAAATTCACCCTGAAATCTGCATTTTATACGCTGCCATATGAAGGCTTTTGAAATCTGGTTAAATTTTAAAGGCTTGTGTATGATGATTTGTGCATTGAGTCTTCACTGCAATGAGAAACAGTACAATGAGCTGCTGCTGACACTATCAGGTCACCTTGACAAAAGAGGCTCTCTTTCAGCCTTTGGAGAGGGTTGTCTGGTAAGGGACATGCATATGTTTGCAAACTATATTAAGGTGGGAGGGGTTTTAAGCACTTTGGAGGACAGGAATAGAATTCAAAATGATCTTGACAAAATGGAGAAATGGTCTGAATTGAGAAGGATGAAATTGAGTAAGGATATATATGAAGTACTAACTTAGAAGGAATAATAACTTGTACAACAAAATAGGAATTGATTAGCCAGGAAGAAGTACTGCAGAAATGGATCTGGAAGTTACAGTGGATCACAAACCAAATATGAATCAATAATATAACACTGTTGCAAACCCCCTTCCCCCCCCCAAAAAAAGCCCATCATCATTCTGGGATGTATTACCAGTGTGATAAGCAAGATACAGGATATGTAATTCTTCTACTCTACCTAACACTAAGGCCTCGGTTGGAGTACTGAGTTCAGTTCAAGGCACCACACTTCAAGAAAGGTGACTTAAGGCCTGGAAAATATTGTATTTATTCCTGGGGGGACTTCTGTGTTATTGTGTTCTTGTACAATTAATGAGCAGTGCATATTTAAAACTTTTATGCTGAAAAGTTGCTGCAATTCTTTTTGCCCACCAGAGGGTGCTCTGGGACTAGAACTCAGCAGCCACTCTGCTATGTCTAGACTGCAGGCTTCTTTCAGAAGATCTTCCGAAAAAACTTCAGAAAGAAAGCATCCACACTGCAAAAGTGCATCGAAGAAGCGATCTGCTTTTTCGAAAGAGCCTCCAGATTGAATGGACACTCTCTCACATGTAAGCTGTGATTGCTATGGACGGAGTGGCCACCAGGGCACTTGTGCTTTTTCCTCTTTCCTCTTCTTCCAAAATAACTCCCTCTTCCCCGTCCACACATGCTTTTTTTGGAAGGGCTGTTTCACAAAAAGGCTTCTTCCTCGTAGAATGAGGATTACCAATGCCGTAAAAACCCCTCAGTCCTTTCGATTTTCTTGTGGAATAAAGCAATTGCATTGTGGACGTTCCTCAAGTTTTGTCGTAAAAATGACTGTTTTTCTGACAAAACTCTGTAGTGTTGACATACCCTCAGCCAGGATGAGGAAGAAAGCCTGCAGAGCCTTTTTCACTGCACTTGTTGGAACAGATCGGGAGACAGGCAGCATGGGGATGCTGAGCAGTCAGAAAGGGGTTCATAAGGGCTACTGGGGGAGGACAGACTTGGGGCAAGGACTGAAAGAGTAGAAGCACAGGATCAGAGGGGAAAGGGAGATGCAGGGGCATAAAGTGAAGAGCTACAAGGGGCACGGGACTGGCTGAATGGGGGCACAGGCATATGGAGACATAAAGAGGGATGTAGGGTCACATAAGCATGGGGGTGGCTAAGTGTGAGCACAGAAATACGTGAGGACAGGGATGCAGGGTCACATGAGGATGAGGGAGTTGAAATGCAGGGACACATGAGAACAGGGTACTGAATGGGAGAGCAAGGGGTCAGTCAGGGTCTGCATAGTGGAAGCTCCCTAATAGTCCCTCTCACCCCCTTAAAAATCTTGATTCATATTCTTCCCCCCTATACCCAACATCCCTCAGCTCCTCTGTTATCTCTGATGCCCCCAACTTTTGCACTGCTTCTACAAGGTACTGGAAGTATTGTTCTGCAGCATAGTTTAAATGAATTATTAATCAGAGTTCTATATTTTATATATTAATATGCACCAGTGGCAGGTAATGTAGGCAAGGGAAGGCACAGCCTTCCCAAAAGTACCTACATGCCCCAGCTTCCAGGAAGGCTGCAGCCCGGCTTCCCCAGCCACCAGGGAGGGAAAGGGCTGTAGTGCAGCAGTCCTGCTCCCTGGTTGCTGGGAAGGGCTGAGGCTGCAGCATGGTGGCCCTAGCCCTTCAGGTGGTCAGGAAGGACTGAACTGGGGGTGGGTGGGACTTGGCTCCAGGGGCAGGCCTTAGGTGGAAGGGGTGGAGCTAGGGCTTGCCTTCCCCAGCTGGGCCTTAACCCAGAGCCCATGTTAATATGCCTACTAAGAAATCACATTTTTGTTCCATGGAAAGAACACAATTAACTATTTTCCTTCAATATGCATCAGGTTGCAAAGGCCAAAATTTCACTTTGCAAAGTTCTCCGGGTGATAACCTGCACAATTGGCAAAGACTGATTGAGCTGGAATTCTAGCCAATAATGATCTGGACCATAACTGAGAATCTGGGTACACATTCACCAAAATAAAATGACCATGCAGAAGACTAAAAGGTTTTGACTACAAATAATTTGTATCAGATTATTTCATTTTGATCCTCAATGGAGCACGCGACTCATACAGCAACACAATTTGCCTTCTTAATTTGTTTATATTTTAGTACCCCCCTCAATTTCTCCCTTCCCTACTTAGTCTACCCAAAACCACTGCATTTAGAAAGTTCAGTGCTTTTTTGGTTCCTGGCATTAATTCTCTGCACTTAAGATACCATTACAGGTGCATCAGAAAACCGTCAAACAGATTCATGGTGGAGCCAGTGGGAATTAGAGCTATGGGTACTGCAAATGTGGTGAACAACTAAAATGAATAAATCAAGTAGTTATTTACTGCAGTGATGAACCCAGAAATGGCTTTGTAGTGGTGAACCCAGAAACCATGCATAGTTCACCATTCTTCTGTCTTTGAACATCATCTTACACATGGAGGTCCAATGTTTAGGATCTGTCAGCACTACCCCAATACAAATAAATAAATAAATACCAAATGAATACCCCAATACAAATAAATAAATAAATAAATACCAAATGACTTCCAAATTACAACTTTATTAAAAGGGATTTCATTTTCTATACATTCCTTGTATTCCTGGAAATAATGGTACATTTTTGTTCATACGATTTATATTCTACCTGTAGAGAGGAACTGCACAGCTGAGATATCACACAAGGTCCTTTTAAAGCAATTGCTATTTCAGATTCTTATGCCTGATCACATAAAGGAAGAAACCACCATACTAATATTATGCATGTATGGGTGTTTTTAAGATTCAGAAGAATATATTCACCATATATATTCAGATAGAAATAACACACTTCCATTGAGTATAGCTGGGGACCATAGAATATTAATTTCCCCAACTAAATGCACCGTGCACTGCAGTTTCTCATAAAAGATGGTAGAGTACAATTAAGCTCTGGTCTCAGAATCTGGGCTTGATTGACCCCTATGCTATTCTAGTTTTATGCTGGTGTAACTCCAGCAAAACCATGAATTATATTGGGGTAAAGCTAGAGGAAAGTAGTACTAAATCAGATCCATTATTTTTGCAGAGACAAATCCAGTTAGAGACTTGTAAACATCACATATATACTATATAGCCTAATGCATCTTATAGCACCCAGCTGGTAAGTTGCCATCTCTCTATTATTTTTAATATATTGTTATTGTTAAAAGAAAATGATCTAGTACTTTGGGCCTAACTAGGAGATGGTATAAAATAGCTTAACCACTATTAATTATCATATTGAACCAGCAGATGTGTTGAAAAGCACTGAAAATTATCTATGTGATGTTTACATTTTTAAAATTCTTTCAGTTATAGCTATTTATTAATAAGGTATTTTTCAGCTGATGTTACAAAAAACATCAACAACTGTGCATTTATACAGAAACCTCCTTGTAAAAACACAAAGCATAAACTGAGTTTTGGCAACAACATAAAGGCAATTGCGTACTTTCTTTATTTTTCCTCCAGAAGACTGGCACCAGTGAGTACAAAGCACATCATGTACATGGAAAATAAGTTAATTTTATTAGGTGGGAGTAGCTGGATTGGTTACATTCTGGAAAATGAAAGAAATATGCTTCTTTATTCTTTCAAGGAAGGGATCAAGTGTCTGGTGTTGCCCTGAAAAGTGTTTCCATTGCATCAACTGTGACATAGAAAGAGATTTCTTTGCATCAGCCTTCTCTTGATATTGTCCATGCTGGCAACCTGTATACACAGAGAGCTTTTCTGGAGAAGGATCTGAAAAGTGAGAAAGTGAAACAGTCTGAGATTGAGAACTACCAAAAAAATCAGTCTGGATCAGTATTCTGTTTTCCAGAACAGTAAGTGCAACCTTTTATAACAATAAAAGCCACACACACAAAGAGGTAAATTACTTGTTAATTTCACAAAAATCCCCCATGCCATCCCAGAGTACAAGTCTTCTTACACAGATGGAATTGAAAGTTTCTTATGTGACCATTTCCTTTCTTCTAGGAGCATCTCCTGCAATTCTGTGACACATGAGCTATTCCCCTCTTCTCTGCAGTTCTATAAGTGGCTTAGCATTGCAGCCTGTGCTAGTACTAACCCCTTTTTTAGCTTCCTGTCACAGCAGTCCTTCCAGAGCTGATAGAGATGAATTCCTATCCATTAATTACAATAACCTGACAACCAACCAGCGAACTATGTAAGGTGGACAACTTGGCCCACAAACTATAAATACACAAAGTAAGTGTTGCCCTTGGCTAATGAGGCCATAAAATATCAATGGACAATGTAGGCTTGTGAGTGGGCTGCCTGGGTGCCCCTCCTTCATCTCAATGGGGACAC